ATTATGAGCCAACAATTCCACATTAACATTGATCTTCGTGACATTTTCGTCAATATCGCCCCGCAACCACCGTATTCGCCTGAATAAAGCTGCGTGTGATTTCTGGCTATTCGGCAAACTTAAACCAAAGCTACGTGGAAACCGTTTTGAGTCAATTAAAGACTTAAACGTGAATTGTGGAAATTGGCTTTAACAACTCTTTCTAAGATTGGAATAAACGTTGGTATTGGGGCCAAGGGGGATTACTTTGCTCATCGATGACCGTATATGTCGGTTATATACAAATATAATGTAGACGGATGGAATAATGTGATTCTGTATCAAAATTATAATTATGTATGAAAGCTCCAAAAAATTTGTACATATGTCTTCCAATTTAATGCAATGAAAAAACATTGTATAAACCCTTGTGGGTTTTTCTTATAACCGAAACTTTAACATGTTTTTATTTGTCTTACAGGGTGCCTTTATAGACACGTCTATTTGTAGACCACGTCTGCAAACACGACACACAATTACGAGCATTACAAGCCACTTTCAGTCACTTTTTATCGCTGTTTTTGCGCTTTCATTATTCAGTGTTTTTTTTTAGATTTTTTTAAATGTAAATTATGCCTTGTACAGAGCGTTAATTACGCCCCTATGTTCGCCGTATACTCGCGGTAGGTGGCGACAAAAACTTAACGCATTTGTAACGAGTGACTAAAAGTACTTCACCTCTGCGGACATGGAACCATGCTACTTTAAAGCTTTATAGCATATTTTCAGACATATGTATGTGTGTGTGTGTGTGTGTGTGTGTGTATGTGCACACACATTATTTAAATTATATAGCATAGCTTTGAGTGCTTGGTCTGTCCTTCAAAACCCTTTTGTGCTACTCAATACTTGTGCACCACGTCCGTCCGGTTGTCAAGCACACACCTTCATGGCTCATTCTTCTTGCTCCAATTTCTGTCTCTGCCCATCCTACGTTTAGTTTGTTTGTTGTATGTTTGTGAAGAGGGTTTTGTAAGTAATTATGCTAAAAAGCTTCCCCATTGATTTATTTACTACTACTTGTAGTACGTCATGAACCAAATGTTTTGTTGCTTTTGTTATTATTCTTGTTTTTGTTATTTGCGCTTTTGTGGTCTTCTTGTTCGCCTTGTTTCAGTTTGTGTATGTTTGTTGCTGTTTCAGCTCAATTAGGTCGCTTCAACCGAATCAATTGTGCATAATTTCCCCATAATTATTTGCAACTCTCGGTCGTACTTTGTTTTCCTGCAAAACCTAGCATGTATGTGTGTATGTATGTGGGTGTATTTGTGTGTAGGAGCGCATATAAATTAGTGTCTAATTTAGCTTTTTGGAAACATTTTTCATGTATTGAATTAAATTCACTGCCTTGAATAAATTAAGTAAGTTTCAAACAAGGGTTGCCAAGGCACTTGTATGCATATTTATTTTTTTTCTTAATATTTTTTTCACTTTTTTATACTTTCTTATATTTTTTGTTATGTTATAGTTCTGTCTGATTTAATTTTCGATTAGATATTTGGATTCACATATAAAAAAGCAAGAAAAAAAAATGGATGCGTTATTTTGTTGTAATATTGTAGGACCTTATAATATTGCTATTCTGTGTCATCGGTACTTTCAAACCATTTGCTGCTCTAATGAATCTGCATACTATATATCCGTTATGCTTTCTGTAGACAACTATTCAATATTTGGCGCCTGACAGGCTTCAAGTATTTTGTGTCGGGTTTGTGATAGAGCTGAGGCATTCACAGATATTAAAGAAACCCGTTGCCATATTAATTTCTAGCTTGAAGCTGCCACAAACATTCTTACAAGAAAGTAGCCCGTGCCCGTTCTAGTAGTCATATATTTAGTAACTAAAATATCCAGTATTTCAAGACCTAATAACGTAGACACCACTTTGGCGGTTATAGCCCCGTTTATAACAGCCCGCCAGTCGTTCTTCCTTTTCGCTGTTTGCGCCAATTGGAGATTCTAAGTGTTGCTTCATATGGTCTTTCGAACAGAGAGATCTTAATCTTCCTCGGCCTCCTTCGGCGGGTTCTGCGTCGAATACTCTAAGAACTTGAGTGTTTTCAACCATTCCGAAGACGTATCCTAGCGCTGTCTCTTAATGCCGTCGTATATATCGTATATTTCGTATATTTCGTACAGCTCATCGTTACATCGAATACGGTATTCGCCGCCAAAGCCTTTGCGCCATATAGCAGGACGGGGATGGTGCGTAGGTTGTAATATTTGGTCTTTGTTCGTCGAGAGAGGACTTTATTTCTTAATTGCCTACTCAGTTCGATGAACGAACCTGTTGGCAAGAGTTATTTTACGTTGGCTTTCGAGGATGATGTTCTTGTTGCTGTTAATGTTGGTTTCAAGAGAGACGAAATTATCTACAACTTCTAAGTTATGACTGTCAACAGTGACGTGAGTGCCAAGTCGCGAGTGCGACGACTGTTTGTTTGATGACAGGAGATATAGGTAGGCGAATAGAAAGAGAGACATCGTGATAATTCGAGTGTAGCTCCGCCTCTTTTCCGCAATCTATTTTAGAGGGTAACCTCTTCCGAAAGTGACTATTAAAATATAGCCTTTTTGCTACGTTCGTATTATTAAAATTATTAAATTTATTATTATTTATTATTAAAATTATTTTATACTGAAAATAGAGACTGCTGCTACTTTCGAGTAAACAGAAGAGATTTTCTTAACAACTGTAAGCCACAGATATCGTAAGTTACGTTAAAGGTTCTAAAGGTTAAATTAAAAGGATTTTAAAGGCAAAAGCAAAGGATATGTTTGTGCTTTTTTTTTGCGCCGACATGAGTAATATAATTTTATTAATTTTAATGACATATTATAGTACAACTTTTGAATTATATTAGAAAAAAAAAATGTCAATGAAAAATATTAATAAATAAGCCTGAGCGATGAACATTATAACTCGTTACCGGATCATCTGAAACCCAAAAAATTTATATGGGTTTTAAAGGTGGCGTATTTCTCGAGGGAAGCAGAAAGAGTTTTTTTTCTATTTTTTTACAGCACCTGAAAGTATAAAGCAGTTAATTTCTTAATAAAAAATTGAAAAAATAAAATCTATTTAATTACCTGTTGATTTGTGTGCAGAAGTAATGTTATAATTTTCAAAAGGATCGGTTCCTTGTAAGTTGTACCTAAACGTATATCGGCCCGTCGTTTAAAATGCTGTACTCAAACTGTTTACACAATATTCTCGACATATTGACCGTTTAGAAAAAAAAATAAAAAACAATGCAAAAAAAAAAGTTTTTTAAACCTTACCCCCCCTTAATGTAATAGAACGAGCGTGTTTCCTGATAAATGTGCATCATTGTGATTGGAATGAACAAAATGGGTTAAAACTCGCTTTAGACACCATATAACTAACAACCCTTAAGTATCTAAACGTATTTCCCCAGCTTTAATTCTTGTAAGTTGCAAGAGTATGAAATGTTCGGTTACACGCGAACTGAGTTTTTTTTTT